CACACACACACACACACACACACACACACACACACATACCGTCTCAGCTCAGGAGATCCGCTGCTGTCAGTTTGCAATCTGACACCGACATCACATTACACAGGGATAAGCTGCCATCTCTGGAGGTAATTTATCAAATCTTTGCGGTGGGGGCTCACAGATCAGCAGAGTTATTCTCATCTTCTTACAGCGTTTACATGTCTACAAATACCTCCGTTCAATTCCTCAGAGGATATTATTGACTGAAAGAGAAAAGCTGAAAAACCTGYAGCTGTTGTAGAGAAGTGAAGAAACGTCAACTTCTGACCCACAAAACTAAAAGTCTCATGACCAACTGTTGCTTTATTAAAAGTCTCTCAACCATCATCCGTTTAATCACAACATTAGTAATTATTATATTATATTGACCCATAAAACCTAAACCATGTCTAAGTCCTTGACGTGGGCGTGTTCAAGTCTCACATCCTGTTAACAGAACTTTATCATACTGTTGTAAATGATGTATAAAGGTCTCAGTGAGGCGGTTTCAGGGAGGAAATGCAGCATGACTACATGTGTGGGTGGATCGCCTCTGGCATGACTTCAACATGTCTGCTAAATAAAGACTGCTTCATATTAGTTTTCCTTTTTTTGTCTTTTTCTCTCACTRAAACCGACTTCATGTGTTTGTGTTGTAGGCACGGTGAGGGGACAAAGTGAAAAAAACAAACCCAGTTACGTCAAAATCACAAAGTTGCTGCTTTCAGAAACACGACAGGAGTTTATCTTCAGGGTTACGTTGTTGGTCCAAACATGAGCGGCCGGGATAATCCTCAAAACTCTTATTTACACCCAAACAGCGAACAGCGCGTTTCACACAAAAACAAASCAGCTGTAGGTAAGTTCAGCAACACAAACGCACTTCAAAACAAAATCTAACTCAAAGAACGTTTAACAAAACGGTTGGTAATTTTGTGAAAGTCAGCGACTGTAGAAAGAAAAAAATATATTTATAAAACAGGGAGACCGGGGACAGTTGCAACACATTTTACATTTGACTCTGTTACTCAGAGACGGCTTGAATTAGACAAAACAAATTTTAAAACAATAAACTTACATCTGTCTGTTAAAAGTCAAAACCATTTATAGACGATTAAAGCATGTACATTCTTCACTATTTGCATTTGAAAATGAAGTCAGATGTTGCAACTGTCCCCGGCCCCGGGGTCAGTTGCAACATCTGACTTCATTGTTTGGGGGTGGTTACAACATATTATTAATACAATATATTTCACTGTAAATAAAAGTTTTATTATTTTTTTATTTATATTATTGCTAAATAAATAAAACAGAGTTATAAAGATATTACAGTGTTATTTATTTATTATTTCTGATCAAATGATGAATATAGATCAGCCTTGATGAGTAGACCTTATATACAGATGTCAAAGACTCTAATTGATATAAAATACAGTTGACTTTTAGAGACAAGGATAATAGATCAGTTTGTGAGACAATTAACTTTAGTTTTGCCTGTTGTCACTGTACGCCTACATTATGTAACATTTACATTAAACAAACTGGGATTTTAAAACCATTGTTGAAAACAAAAACTGTAGAAAATACATCTTAAACACTTTTATGTTTTAAACTATAAAACTGTCATGAATACCCAACACTCTTTTAAGTGTAAACTTAATTTCAACATGTTAATCTCATCTGTATGTGCTCTGTTTTTATATGCATTTATCGTATGGGGACAGTTACAACAACTGTTACAACTGTCCCCATTCCTGTCAGCCATGATAAAACCTAATGTGTTAGCTAAATAAGCTCATCTGGATACATGTTAACTAGATTAGTTAAAAGTCAACAGATCACTTGTTTAAACCATAGAAGTTTGAGCTGGATCACAAAAACAGTGACAACAGTTTAACAAAAATAAAGCTGGGCAAAAAAAAAAATACTTTGGTTCCTCAAAAACTGTTTTATTTAAATAAATCCTGGAGCAGTTTTTGAATCTGTTTACTTTTTCTTTACAAGGTGGGGCATCTAACTGAGCATGTACAGTGTGAGTGTCATCACTCTGTTTCTGTTTGGAGAAAAATGACGTGTTGCAACCGTCCCTTGTTGTTACTGTCCCCGGTCTCCCCTACTGAAAGAGAAATTTAACTCCTAATTTTAGCTCATTCCTTTTCTTTGAAGTAAAGCTTTCTGAATAAGTACGGCTGACTAATTAGCGGACACTAAAAGCTAACAGGCTAACAAAGCACCAGATCTCAAAGGGCTTTTATTTTGGAGTTGTGGCCCCCCCTTTTTTAACTCTCAGTGCTGACGGTAAAGAAGACAAAGAGCCTGTTGAGAAGCCGAAACACAAGACTGATTCTGATTCTGAGGCAGTCGGTGCTGAGGGTCGGTTTGTGCTCAGCCTGGCAGAAATCAGGAGTTCACTTCAGTCGTGACGTCAAGAGAAACAAGTGGAACATCTTAAAGGCATTCAGAGGTGAAACCCAAATGAAGAGTTGTTTTTTTTTCCAGATTTGAGTCTTTTTTGGTGAAAATTTATATTTTTACACCCTCAAATCTTTCGTTTTTTTTTATATTCAGGTCTATCATAATATATTTTGAGACATTTTACTTTAAAATGTGAAGATTTTTTTTATTTAGTCACGTATTCAATAAAATAATCAAATATATATATAATAAACAAAACAAAACACAAGTCATAAATGAAATAAAAAGAAGAAAAACCTTATTACACCTGCCCCCTTTTTTCCCTAAAAATTCAATTTATTTATTTTTCATTTTTATACATAAAGAGGAAATAGGAAAAGAGGGGAAAAAAGAGGAAATGTACTGTATTTATTCATGTATAATACTAGAAATTTAACCCTAAAAATCACCCATAAAGTAGGGGGATAGTGAGGTGTAGAAAAACCACGTCTTCTTGTTGAAGTGGAACTGCTATTGCCCGATGAAAGATGACTCTGGAACAAGGCTGGTTTGAACAGCAAGCACCTTTATTTGGCAGTTCATAGAGATGCAGCCTAAAAAACCAAATTGTGGCCTCCAGCCAAATGATTCGCCAAGTAAGAAAGATGGAGAAAGAAGGCCAAGAGCGGGGGTGTACAGGGCTCTTTATACATTCTCGACAGATGTACATAAATCTTGTCACGTGTACCTCAAGCGTTCTTCTGTCCTAATATGGTGATGTGTGTCGAACTCTGAAGCTGGACGGCAAATGGGCCCCACATCTGTGCATTCTTGAGACAACCCCCCTTCGTTAGACACTACAATAATAATATACACGGTAGTGCTGGGCGGTATACCGTTTTGTACCGAAAACCGKTTTTTATTTTTGTTATGACATGAATTTTCTGAATACCGGTGTAAATACYCTGAACACGTATGGAAAGTTTCGTTGCAACCACCAGTGAACTGTTTCGTGGGGGACACGTTTCCTCGCAGCACCGCTAAGCRCATTAGCATGCTAACGTTATTGTTGGAACAACTGRGGCGGGTGGTGTTTCAGCTGCTTAARTGGTCCGACGTTAAAAAAACATCCCGTTTTCACYATYGCTGAATGTAGTAAACAACTCTTCAGTGACGTGCACGTTAGATTTAACACGCTACGTTATAATGGAGACGTTATTGCATGGTGACTCTAGCGTGCTTCTATTGTGAAAAGCTGGGGGGAAGTAGATTTGTAGTGTAGCYGAGTTGACTGATGTGCAAGGTGAGTCGTCCTTTTTGTTTATTAACGCGTAACGAYAGACCAGATAATGACTTTTTCTCAACCCTTCACGATTGGACCTAAATGCATGATTACTGTCTACAACCAGGCAAAGAAGAAAAGACGTACAAGAGGAGGGAAACAGTGATACAGAGGTATAGTAAAAGAAAAAAGTCAATAAGCAAAGTTTGCACATTTTATCAGCTGAGCTGTGAGGAAAAAAAATACCGTCAAATACCGTGAAACCGGTGTAATTGTTGAAAATACYGTGATATAAAATTTGGGTCATATGATAATTAGATTTTTATACTTTGTAAGATCTAAAAATGATCGTATTATACTCGCGATTGTATTACACATGAATAAATACGGTAATTAGAAAGATTGAAATAGAGATTAGAAAAATATTAAATATACACCAAGAAAACACAAGGCCACGCACCCGACATTTGTCCACTAAAAATTCAATTTAAACAATAATAATGAACAAAGACAACATCGGATCTCTTCCAAAACTGTCATATTTTCTCACTAAATAAGTTACTGAGCTGCAAACATCTTCAGGACAAATTCTGTGTTGATTCTGATCTGTGAGAATCCAGCTGTCTGATGAGGTATGAGATAAAACACAGATGTCTGACTGCAAACAAGCAAAAAAMAAAAAAAAAAAAAAAAACAAACAAACATGGAAGTCAAAGTGTTTAAAGTCGCAGCAGAAAAGTACTTTTACCTGTTGAAGCATTTCCTCCGTGGAGACCAGTTTCTGTCGGTGCTCCTCCAAAGAGCTCTCCAAGTCTCGGATCTTCTCACCTTGTGCCTCTACCTGGTCCGTCAGGACGCTCACCTGGTGGGAGAGGAAAAGACCTTTTTTTAGTTTCAGAGCAGACAGAGAAAAACCCAAACTGCTTCTTGAAAAGCACATCCTTCGTTACCTTTCACAATAAAGTTTGAAACAAAGACGTCTTCCAACCTGTTAGCACTCAGAGGATGTGYTGGAGGTGACTCTCAGCTACTACCACACCAAGTTTAGCTCATTTACTGTAAAACATGACGAATTTAGAACCATTTGTTTGCTGAGGCCTCCTTAAATCCAGTTGAGGTGAATTAATCCTTTCATTAGTTATTAATATTCATATTGTTTTCCTGTTTCTCTTTAATATTATTCAACTTATTCCGTCTTCTTCCATGTCGCCACGCTACTCCTCCTGCATACTTTGTCCTACAGCTGCCWTTGTAATTTCTATCTGTAAAGGTCCTGTGCCAAATGATTGCTATGCCTTCTGGTGCCTGTACAACTTGTAGTTTTTGAAATATTAATGTTTAAACTTTATTCAAAAATTCATATAATGGGAGTAAATGGGGCCTTGTAATGGTCCAATACTGCCCCATGCTGGACTCAACTTGGTACTGCTCCATGCTTTAATAATATTTAATCTCAATTGTTCAGTGTTTACAATACTAATATGATTGTATTTTGATGTTTTACCATAATATTGTCTTAATACTGCTCTATAGTTGTAATATTATGCATTTTTGTGTCAATAATTGTATTGGCAATGTGGCCTCTTTCTGCACACATACAAATCTACCCCTGCCACCGTTTTCTGCCACAGCTCCGTTGGTCTAATGGTCTATGTCATGGACTGTCATGTGGGAGATCAGGGTTCAAAACCCAGCTAACGCAACTTTAACAAAAAATCTCCACCAACTTCATATTGTCACACAATTACCTTAATTACAAACACCTGCTGACGTGACAGGCACAAGCTGGTATAGAAAACATATTTGAACTTGGTCAAAGTTCCTTCTGCAAGTCCAATGCTGCATGCAATGACATGCTACATGGCAATGCACACTTGTTTTTACATCGTAAAACCCCATGTCTAGTTAATATTCTTTTTCTTGTAGCAATTGCGATAAAAAGGGATAAGGAATCATTTTATTTTGATTTAGTTCGTGAAGTTTGTGTTTCGTGAYCCTCAGCTGGATCCAAAGCTCAGCCCAACAGACTGCAGGGAACGTGTCAAAGCTGAGCGGTTCTCTGATGTTTCAGAGGAAACATTAACAGGAACATTTCTGCAGCTCCATCAGGTGAAACCTCAACGCTTCAGCTGCACGGCGACATGGCAGCCTGGCACTCAGGAACACATTTCACATTTCCTAAAGTCTCCCTGACAAAACCTCCACCTCCTGCCAAACTGGCTCCTCTGACACGTCTCACAATCTGAGCCCTGCAGTCACGTCGGCTCTCAGAGAAGAATAAACGCATCGAAAACTCGTTCGAGTCCAGATTATAAACAGAACTTGTGCTGTTGCAGGGTCCGTTTTGGTCGTTTCCTTTTAGAAACGGGTATCAAAAAACAAGAAAGAAGTGGCTATTTATAAGAAATAAAATGAAACCACTCATGAAAAATGAAAAATACAAAGGGTTTCTAATTCTTCATGGTTCCTACAGCTTAAGGCAATTTCAATTTAAGACTATTTAAAACCTCTTTAATGCCACTTGAAATGAAATTTAAGACTAAATTAACCAAAAACGTGGACCCAAATGTTTATTTTAGCACAAATCAACAAGCTGTAAGAAGCATTCAGTAAATTATTTTAAAAATAAATAAAATGTTTTAAACCATTTTAAGACCTCTGAATTATTTATTTAAGACATTTTAAGGTTAATTAAGGCCTTAATTTTGGATTGATGAATTCAATGTCTTTTAAGACTTTTTAAGGAACCAGAACCAGAACTAACTGAAAGGAGCAGACCAACGATGCAAACTGACAGGAAAAAGCAAAAAATAAATAAATAAATAAAAACTTTCTGCTCAAAGAACAACATTTATACAACACAATGGATAGAAAACTGTCTTATTTTGCTTTTTATAGAGTGAAATGTAGGCAATGTATTAAAAAAATAGGATTATTTGGCCAAAAGTCACAGGAAGTGTCTCTGAAAAACCTTTGATCAGAGCTACCATCATATTATGGACCAACATTCAGTGTTTCTGACTTTTATTTACAGAAATTAAAGTTTTAATTATGCAGAGCT